ACACACACACACACTGCACATTGTGGTACCTGTCTTATTGTTGCTGTTGAGGATTACCAGTGTATTAGCTGCTTTGCCTCTATGCTCCATGTTTCTGTCATGTCTTGCCAAGATATCTGTTTTCCATATTATAGGAACAGAAGTGCTTGGTTTCATTCAACCAAATTCCCCTTTTTCTTTTTAGGAAGTGGAGCGGGAGATCTCCTTTCGGACAGAGTGTGGACTGTACTACTCCTACTTCAAGCAAATGTTACAGGCCCCATCCATACGGGAAGGTAAACACTTTATTTATGGTGATTCTGCTGTGTATATATATCACACCTTTTGGCCTTTTGCTGAATGTATCACATATCAGCCAGTCCTTCTATGTCATCTCTAATATTGATTGAGTTTGTGTCTAATTGACTGTGTGCTAAACCCCTCATCCAAAGTGTAAGGAATGGATTAAAAAGTGTGTTTAATATGAGCTGTGTGCATTAATAAGAGAACTGAAGCAGACATTTAAGTTACTTTACCTAGTAACTAATTACTTTTATATGCAGTAATTGTTAAAGTAATTAAATTACTTTTGAGGAAAGTAACTATAAACTATAACTAAATTCACATTTTCAGTAACTTTCCCAACACTCGTTCTAGATGCTATCAGGGTTTAGGCTAACTTTAGCAGCTCCGTCTGTCTCTTTAATAGATTTGGAGAAGTTTACATCCCTGCATCTCAAATCAGTGTAACCTGAGAAAGCATTACATTTGCCAAACACATGTACTTGTTCGTCCTCATCCTGAAAGCCCTTTTTTTAACACTGAAAGTGAAAAAAGTATGTAAGCCAAGCAGCTACACAGGTTAAGATAGAATATAGCAGTCGGATCTTATAATACAAAGACTACCTACAGTAGCTCTACACTGCAACATAAGAACAGTGCTTTTATTTACTCTTCTAAGTAACATGGATCATTAACTAGTGAGGAGACTTTTTGCTTGAGACATGCAGCTTTTGTCTTGCTATGTTACATTTAAACCCTTTTTACAGGATTCTAATAACGAGTCAGCCAGAGATGGTGTTTTCAACAAACTGATGGTGGTGGTATCAGGTGTATCACATATATCAAAATCTACATCACCTACATTTAAAATATGTTGTAATACAAAAGTAGAAGAGAAGAAATCATTTTCCCCCTACAAGGTAAGCTAGATCAAACCCGAACAGGGAAGAAAAGACACCTGTTGTATTACTCACTTTTGATTCAGACCTCTAGGTGTGAGTCAGAAGAGAAAACTTTCTCTTTGGAGTAAGAGGTTATTTAAATTGTCTGCTCCTCGGAGATGTGACGTTATGGACAGCGGGTGGCCTCTCTGAAATCCACTGCCACAGAGTTATGCATACATATGCACACATACCCCAGCATTTAATGGATATTTTGATCATTATTTGTGAGACTATTCTAGTTATTGAAACATGGTCTCTAAATATCTCAAAATGACCAATCTTGACTTTTTTTTTTCATACCTGGATAGAGACACCAGATGGCTGCCTTTGTCCACTCTTACAAGAGAAAGAAACATTTCCCCCTCCATTTTACAACCAGACCAAACAAATCACTGGTTTCTCATGACGCACAGTCTGGTCTAAGGGAAATTAGTCTAATTATTTTGTTCCCATTATCATGTAAAATCCCTAGTTGGAAACAGTCCTAATTTTCCACTAAGGCAAATAATTGAGCTTTAGGCTAATCAGTTGAGGAACTGGCTGACCTCCCTTTCTATCTCACTTCTTTTCCTGTCGCAGCAAAAAGGCTTGATATGAAGAAATTACAGTAGTTCAAGTATTAAGGGTAAGGAGAAAAATATGGAGGATGGACTTATAGCATAATGAAAGAAATGATATTATTGCTGTGGAAAAGGAAAAAAGTGAGGTGGCCGAAAGGGAGCAAGGATGGAGGGGAAAGATGAAAGGAATAAGGACAGAAGGGAAGGGAAAATGAGCTAAGATAGGTAAGAGGAATCAAAGTGAGGGAGGAAAGAAGGACGGAGAGAAAAGGGAGATTAAAAATGAATGAATGAACTGGAGTGGATTGTGTACTTCTGTTTATTGAAAACAGCGCTGGTTTTTATGGTCTTACATGTGTTTCACATAATGTCAGTACCAGTCTTTTTGGATGACATGATATTGCCATTGTTTAAGGATAATTGTGGTTTATCACAACTTGGGTCTTATTGTTGTACTTTTTGCTGTAATAATCCCCTTGAACTGAGGAGTAATTGCTGAGATAGAGGAATACAGTGACACTACGCTAAATGGAAGTCAGACAGGGCAAAAGGAAGTGTGAACCTATAATGACGTCACCGTTTGGAGCACTGTTTTGAAGCCTCGACTTTGACATTACCGGCGTCGCCATGTCTTTTTTTAGCGGTCATGTACTGCAAGTTGAGCTGCGTTCATTGGCTGTGGTGGTTTCAACACTTTCTCATATTACAGATAAATATTATACTAAAATGAACTAAAATCAGGATTTTTGAGGCCAGTCACCGTTCACTAGAAGCAACCCAGTACCGATCACTGGGTCTATTTAAAGCCTTGTGTTTATAGTCTAGCCTTATTTATTTATCATTTACTATTATAAACAACATTATATATTAAGTATTAAAATTCATGAATTGGTAAATTATGAATTGACAACTGTGTATTTATTGGCAGGCAACATGTTCAACATAACACAGCTTAAACCACAGCCTGTTGTTGGTTATTGGGAGCAGCTTAGAGCGTAAAAGTGTTTCAACAGAATGACAGTGGAACTGTGGGGGTTATGTCTCTATTTCGATAGTTAATTTCTTTTTTCACCATTTTATTTTACTTAAATTATTCACCTTATTATGGTGTTTTATTCATTCACAAATACTCACGTGCACTCGCTTTTCCCCTCATCTTTCCCCAAACACACACACGCACACACACACACACACACACACACACACACATACACTTCTATCTCACACACACTGACTGCTCCGCCTCTCTCTGCCACTGTCTCTATATGCAGGCTAAATAAGTACGTTTTATAAAGTCGCCCATGAAACACAAGTTATGTTTTGAATTCCATCCACGATTCAGTTTTTCCGCGCACTAAAGAGTAGGCTTGTTAATGACTTTGCCTATTAAAAACACAACTGTTGCTTTACCTGCTCTGTCCACCAGATAACAGCTCTCTCGGTTTCTCTGCAAAATACTAAAACAAGTCCCTGATATACTGTAAATATACTGGTGGCCCACCCAAGTAAATCGATGTGTCAATCAATCAGAGCACCCTTACCTAAAATATGGCCCAAAAAGATTTTAGGTGAAACATAGACAATGCAGTAACATAATCTTGATTCATATTTGATCAGCACTGCCTACTTTGACAGTTTGAGTTTAATTTTACTCTTTTTAAAAAAAAAATTAACTAAATAAACATCATGCTGTATGTAAAAGACGCAAACAGTATGATGATCAAAAGATGATCAGATTATTTATAATTTTAGCATTTAACTTATTGTACAATGATGAATTCTGAAATTACCACCAGTCGACAATTGACACATCCAGAATGTGGAAACACATTATCATTCATTTGGACTTGTGTTTGTGGCAACCTGGCAAAAAAAGTCCAATATTTACTTTCCTTTCAGCGTCGCTGTGCTCCTCACCAACTCCTGAGGAAAATGTCTGACTGTTTAGCTGTTAAATGCTTCATTATGTTCACCACCTTGTTACTTACTTTGTCTGCTGTTTGGTGCACAGAGTGGTGAGGGTGGATCAAAACAGTAAAGTTTCATACCATCAAACCAAAACCGTAAGCTGAAAGATGCTAAAGCTCTATGTAAAGGTGATGGGAACTGCAACAACAACAACAACAATGACAACGACAACGAAATTGTTTAGCAAAGGCAGTATGCCACCCAGATGTTGAAACTTTATTTATTGGTTGGTGTATTTAACAGGGACTGTGCAAATTAATAGATGTTCCTGTAAATGTGCCAGAGTTACCCAAGAGGTTATTTTTCATCTGTAGTCCCTGGACAGATGTTATGAAGTCTAAATTAGAATATGACAGAGTTATTGAGCTTATTTATAAGCATGCAGAAAAGAACACAAAACAACATTAATGTTAATAAAAACATAATTCAGGACACTATTAGACTACATTTTCAGGTACTATTTAATACTTGCAGCACAGAGGCTCATAATACTAGACATGCAAAACAATAAAATGAGGGGTATTAATAATAATAGGCATATGGACTAAATATGACAGTGTGCTGCATTATTAGACACTAACTGATAAGAAGCACAGACATAAAAGCACTACAGTATGCTAAATACATAAATCAGTCTGAAACAATAAAAGCTGAACGACATACATCCAGGTACATCTCCTCTCATGATCAATCTAGTTAGTACATGACGACCTAAACAACAGCCACACTCAGTGCATGCCATTTGCTCCTCTGCTTTTTCCCGTCAAAGGTTAATGTTTTAATTCATAACATTTTTATATTACTTCATAGGATACTTTTAATATCTGTTAATATAAAACACTGTGGGAAACCTTGACATATTTAGATGAATTATTGGTGTTCTGGAGAAAAAGCAGCACAACAGTAGTTTTTTAAATCCAGCCAAGGAGGTGGTGATGTGAGGGCTTCCAAGGTTGAATGCACTGATGGGTTCAGACATCCATTGTGCTTTCAGCAAGCAGTACAGTCCATGGTTTTAGTGGCTGACAGAAATTTCAAACACCATTATTGTTCTTTAATAGCACCATACACTTTATCAGTCTGAAAATGCCACCATTTTTCCACAGTGACACAAAGTGTGTGTTTGTGTGTGTGTGTGTGTGTGTGTTCCCAGGGCTCTCAGATTTGATCCATGACAACTTGACAGAATCCAAGAGGACCATTAATCTCCTACAACGAATGAATATCTACCAAGAGGTCTTTCTCAGTGTTCTCTACAGATTGTTACCCATACAGGTAACACATCACTCAGCTGTCAGCGATTTACAATAGACTTATAAAACACAAAAGATTAGAGTATTGCCACCATCACAAAATGATGGACTATCTCCTTGACTTTTCTTGTCATTTTGTCTCATGAAATAAAGTGAAAAATTTAATTATTTAAAATAAATCTTTATTTTTCTGTTATCATGTTATGTTATGTCATTATTATTAACCAAGTAATTGTTAATGTTAGTGATATTAGCAGACTGTCAGGCATTTGAGGTGCTGTGACATTCTGCATTTTGGTCTTTTTAGCTGACATGACTTGGCACACTTGCAGTTGTCACACTGGAGGAAAAGGTTTCTGTATTGGCATATCAATTAACTGAGGAACAGCTACTTAGCTTCCTCAGCGATCTCACTGTGACAAGAATGCCAGGAAGTGAAATATCAGACCAAACTTTGAAAATGCCACAGTGTTTCTAAGTGCCCGAGTCAGTCGCTGTCACTGTAGTCAACTCTGTGTGTTCATTTACAAGGCCTAATGAACTAATGGTTTGTGTGTGTGTGTGTGTGTGTGTGTGTGTGTGTTGTCCAGTCGTATCTGGAGCCAGTGTATTTCTACATTTACACAGTGTTCTCGCTCCAAGCGGTGTATGTGATTGCTCTGTACCTCACAGCATGGCTTCTGTCTGGTTCCTGGCTGGCTGGTGCTCTCACTGGAATCTGGTACATCCTCAACAGGTAGGTAATAACTGTGTGCTCTTGTGTGTGCGTGAGACAGTGAAAGGGGGAGAGTGCTAGGCCACTTTGACATGTGAAATTGCAATAACATTTACAGACTCAGACCCATGTCTCAGTGTGACCTTAAGGGTTTATCTCATTATTTTGGATGATATCTAGGTGAATCCTCACTTAAGCTTAACAAACTATACATTGTTTGCAACCACAAAGTCTCACATTTCTGTTTGTGTAAACCTTTTTTATATTTCACAAAAAACAAAATAGTAAAATAAACATTTCACATTTTTTACCATGTTTGTGCCTTGGTGAATTGGTTCAGTATCACTCATACCCTTTATACACCTGGGCACCCTGGTGGTCATAATGTTCTGCAGCCCCATACCAACAAACTGCTCTGCACTGTGTGTTCTGACACCTTTCTCTCAGAACCAGCATTAACTATTTCAGCAGTTACAGTACAGTAGCTTGTCTGTTGGATCAGACCACACTGGCCACCCATGACCCTGTCTCCGGTTCTTGTTAGCGGTTTTGATAGGTACTGACCACT